AAAAAAAAAAAAAAAAAAAAGGTGAGGCCCCCGCCATCCTGCCCCGCCCAGCTGCGTTCGTTCTGGTTCATTCTGGCTCATTCTGGCAAGTTGAAGCTGTAGGTTGCTGCCTCAAATGTCTTCTCCTCAGGCCTATAGAGGGCTGCCAGACCCCCAACCACAGCCAGCCCCTCGGCCCTCATATTCAGGCAGCTGCTGTGGCGGGCCGGCCAGCACCAGCACCACTGGGACTGCACGCGGGGCTGGGGATGGGGCTGGGCAGGTCTGAGTCTGAGAACTCTGCCCGTGGCCCAGGTTCCTGCTGGGGAACCAGAAGCCACACTCCTTGTGACTGGTGTCTCTGGTGTCCAGCAGACATGCTCTCTGCAGCACTTGGGCTGGGTTCTGGTGCCTGCAGGCCTCCCAGGCCGTGCTCAGCCCTGTCCTGACCTGCCAGCTGTGCTTCACCCCTTGGGTGGGGGCAAGTGTGCCCCACACAACCAGAGCTGTCCCAAGGCCCAGGGCCAGCCGCGTGGGTGACTGGGAGTGGCTGGCTTTCCTGTATTGGGCAGAGGCAGGTCGCTCAGAAGTGTGGCTGCCTTGAGGGACAGACAGACTCCTTAGCCTAGAGAGGGGGCTGTCTGGCATGACTTGGAGTCACCACCTGGGGTTTGGGGGCTGGGGCCTGTGCAAGGAACTCTTTGCCCCCATCCCCTCCCCACCCTGTGCAGATCTCAGAGCCGGAAGAGGCCTGGCCATGGTGGGAACTCGGCGTTGGATGGACACACCTGTGACCTCCAGCCAGGGTCGGGGGAGGCTGGCCACACCCCAGCAGCACTGGTCCCTGGCCTGGGCTGTCCACTGGGCCCTGGGGCCTGCCTTGGGGAGGCCAAGTCCGGGCCTGGCTGTCCTTTGGGCAGGACCTTGGTACAGTGTCTGTCCACTGTGCCCCCTCCTCCCACAGAACTTCCCTGGAGTCCCTTTTCTTGCCCAGCCTGGGAGCTTCTGTGATCCTGAGTGCTGCTGGGAGGGAACAGAGGCCCCCTCGGCCGTCCTCCCCTCTCCCCAGCCCATCAGCAATTCCATTTGTGCCGCACCGGCGGGACGGCATTAGTCGAGTCAGAGTTAATATGATGTATTGACGGGTTGATTTCCCCCCGGCGGCGGCGTGCTGGGCTCTGTGGGGCATCGCTCCTGGGCTGCCTGCCGGCTTCTTGCCTCCCTGGGGTCAGGGCGAGTGTGGGCCGGGGGCTGGGAGTTGCCTCTGCAGCTAGGTCTCCTTGCTTCTCTAGCTCCGGGGTACCCCAGATTTTCGGGGAGTCTGGCATCCACCTTCCTACCCGTGAGCCACTTGGATCACCATGGAAACAGCAATGTTCTCTACGGGCAGCACCGTTTCTATGGAACCCAAAAAGGCAAGTGCAGCATGGGGCCGGCATGGGGAGCGGGCATGCTGGGGGTGGGGAGGGGGCGCAGGAGCTTCTGGGTCACAAGGGAAAGGCCAGCCTAGGTGAGCCCTCCCACAGGTGTCATCGAGGTCAGGGTGGGGGCTAGAGGAGAGGGTGGGTCTGCCCCTCAGGATTTAAACCCAGGGGCCCAGGACCACCCCCAGGCGCAGGTTCAGTTCCCAGATCACGCTGTCTCAAGACCTCTCGCTGCTCAGGTGGGAGCAGCTGAGCTAGTGCCCACCTTCCTTATCACCCTAGTCCCACCAGCTTCCTCAGGACCTGGCCTTGCCCTGCAGCCCCCAACAGCTCCCGGATCCTGGGGTGGCTCAGGAGGAGGACACATCCGGTGGGGGCTGGAGGAAGCCCACAGAAGCCTGCACTTCCTGGCTTACACACTCCGTGGTCTGGGCTAGAGCTGGGCTGCAGGAGGCCCAGCCCCCAGCCCCCAGCCCCGTGTCCTGGTGGACAGAAGGGCTGCTTACCCTACTGGCAGCAGGCATCCTTGAAGAAGGGATGCAGAGTTTGAGTCTTTGCTGAGAAATCAGAATCGGTGGGGCATTGGGGAAGAGGAATCGCAGGCCCAGCAGAGCCAAGTCCTGGTGCCAGGGAGTCCCCCCCGGAGTCCCCGAGACGGCCTGGCTGGAGGTGGGATGGGTGTGGGTCCTTATCTCCAAGTTTGTAGGGTGACATCTCATTTGCATTTTAAAAAGTTCCCCTTGGGGTGACACCAGGAGGCTGGAGCAGGAAGCCGACGGTTAGTTACTGGCCTACAATGAGAAGCAATACAGGTGTGGGGTCCCACAGGGGCCGGCATCAGTGATATCTAGGAGGGGGTTGGGGGCAGGGAGGGATAGAGGGGTCTAGGTGACCCTCAGTTTCCGGCCTGGGCTATGGGAGGGCGCACCTGGGAGGAGCAGTTGGATGGTGGGGTGAGTTCTGCCTCAGTGCAGAGGGGCTGGGACATCTCCCCAGGAGGATCTGAGAGGTGTCTGGACACACGAGGTGCGGTCAGTGCAGAGAGGTGGACTGGGAGGTTGTCCCGGCTGTGGAGAGGGACACCCAGGCTGTGGGGGGTGAGAAGGGAGGGGGGGACAAATGGCTTCCGCACAGCCCCTGGGAGCCCAGGAGCCCTGGCGTTTAGGGCTGGAGCTCTGGGTCGGGGCAGAGGAAAGGCCCAGAAAGCCCCTGCAGGGCCTGAGAGGCAGACTAGACACCCTGCAGGGAACAGAGTGGGGGACCCCAGTGAGCCTGTGGTCATGATGACCCCAACTCTGAGTGAGCTGAGGGGTGGGGACCTGAGGCCAGTCTGCCCACCCTCACTTGGCTGCCTGTCAGCCTCTTCTCCCCACCTCACACTCACTCCAGGACCTCTGTGTGGCCTGCACCTCCGCACCTGCAGGAGCCCGAGATTTGCTAAAGCTCGGGAGGGCTTTGGCCTCACCTGTGCCAGCCAGCTGCAGGGGAGCAGGCATGGGGGCCAGGAACTCACCACCAGCCCCACCCAGGGGATTCAGCTGTCACCCAGGACAGGCACCCAAACCCGTCTCCTCACCCTACACCCCAGCTCCTGTGGCTGCAGGCTGAGGGGCTCTGCTGCCCAGAGGACAGCCCCGCAGGCCCCGTTCCCCCAGACCCACGTCAGCCCCTGCGCGTGCAGTTATTTTGACAGTGTTTGTCAAGGGCGGGCAGGTGGCTGGTCCCAGCCCCAGAAACCCAACCCCTCCACCAGCACAGGGGACTCCCTCCGGGCAGTGGCCAGCCAGGCCTCTCGGCTTTCACAATATTGTGGTGCAGCTACGTCCAAGAACAGTATTTGGTTTTGGAAATGGAGCTAATTAGGTTTCGCTGGGGCTAGCCCCTTCCCGCTCCCCTTCCCCCTTGTTTCTAATTAGCAGGAAATTGACAAGGAATTTACATGCCTGAGGACAATTTTACAAGTTCCAAATGTTTCTTTTGTTTCCCCCCTTGTCTGCTCCCTCCCTTCTTGGCACCACCCTGCTGCCCACCCACCCAGCTGGGCGTGGAGAGGGACAGCCCCCCCCAGGGTCCCCAGAGGCGGTGACCTGGCCCCCTCTGTGGGGTGATGGGTACCCCCAGGGCAGCCAGGAGTGTGGAGAGCTTGGGGCATACCCTAGCCGGGAAGGGCGGGCCCAAGCCGAGGGCCCAGGCTGGGCAACTGTTTTCAGGGACCGGCAGAGGGAGCCCCCAGACACCCACCAGCCACCAGGCAGGGCGAGCATAGCTGCTGCTCTCTGCCCCCGGAGCCACTGGCCTTTCTCCATTTCAACCCATTACCCTAGCCCCACCAGACTGGGACACCCAGACGAGAGGCCGAGGGGCTGGGAGCTCCCAGGGGGTCCAGCAGGTGGGTGAGCCCCTCCTCCGTGACCGCCTGTCCTTCCTCGCCTCTCTCCGGGGGCGCCAGGAGCTGCGCCTGCCACCTGTCCCTGGTTTCCAAGGTCCTGGTGCCTGTTTGTAAAGACCCAGTGGGGATGCCCTGTAACACTCACTGCCTGCCCCGCGTCCCCCAAAAATCCACTGCCTGCCCCGCGTCCCCCAAAAATCCCTACTGGCACTGGGCCAGGTAGGGGAGAGACGGGCCTCGGGTTTGCATCTCCCATCTCTGAGGTATGGGGGCCGAGGGTGAGTGTTTCACGGGGACAGAACTTCAGTACGGGGAGGTGAGAGGTTCTGGCCATGAATGCTTGTGACGGCTGCACGGCAGGGGGAATGTGCCCAGTGCCCCTGAACTGTGCACCAAAAATGGGAAATTTTATGTTATCCGTATTTCACTACAATTTTATAAAAACAAAAACAAAAAATGACCGGGCACGGTGGCTCACGCCTGTAATCCCAACACTGTGGGAGGCCGAGGCGGGTGATCACTTGAGCTCAGGAGACCAGCCTGGGCAACATGGTGAAACCTTGTCTCTAAAATAAAATAAAATAAAATAATAGGCCGGGCGTGGTGGCTCCCACCTGTAATCCCAGCACTTTGGGAGGCCAAGGTGGGCGAATCACGAGGTCAGGAGATTGAGACCATCCTGGCTAACACGGTGAAATCCCATCTCTACGAAAAATACAAAAAATTAGCTGGGCGTGGTGGCGGGCGCCTGTAGTCCTATCTGCTCGGGAGGCTGAGGCAGGAGAATGGCGTGAACCCGGGAGGTGGAACTTGCAGTGAGCCGAGATCGCGCCACCGCACTTCAGCCTGGGTGACAGAGGACAGGGTGAGACTCCATCTCAAAAAAAAAAAAAGCGAAAACCTTCCCTAGGCTGTAACCTAGGGTCAGTGCCAGCTGGTGTCCGGGAGGCACCTGGAGCACCTCTCTCAGGGAGTCTTCCTCCAGCCTCACCCCTAAGGCCTCCCATCGACCTTGGCTCTTTCCCACACAGATAACTTCTACCTGCGCAACCTACCGCCCCAGCCCACGCTGCTGCCGGCCAACCATAACTTCCCCAGCGTGGCCCGGGCCGCCCCTGCTCACTCCATGGGCTCCTGCAGCCGGGATCGAGACCGGGGCGAGGCTGGCTCCCTGCAGAAGGGCCCCAAGGACTTCGACCGCTTCCTCGTGGGCAAAGAGCTGGCCAGAGAGAAGGCGGGCAAGGCGACTGAGGGCAAGGAGCGGCCGGCGGCAGAGGAGGACGGTGGCAAGGAGCGGCACAAGCTGGTGCTGCCCGTGCCGGCTGACGGGCACTGCAGGGAGGGTGGCCCCATACCCCGAGGAGCCTGTGAGGGCCGCTCCAAGCACCTCACCTCCTGCCTCCTCAACACCAAGGTGCTCAATGGCGAGATGGGCAGGGCCGCGCTAGCCAGCTGTGCGGGGGGCGTGCTGGGGCGGCCTGGCGCGGGGGTGGCAACCTCTGGGCGCTGTGCGAAGGAGGCAGCAGGCCCCCCGGAGCCCGGGCCGGCCTTCAGCGAGTGCCTGGAGCGGCGGCAGATGCTACACCACACCGCGTCGTATGCCGGGCCGCCCCCGCCCCTCAGCACGGCCGCTGGCTCCTTCCCCTGCCTGCAGCTGCACGGGGGCCCTGACGGGCTCTGCCCACTGCAGGACAAAGTCCCCCGGGACCTAAAGGCCAGCGGGCCCACCTTCGTGCCTTCTGTGGGACACCTGGCCGACAAGGGCCGCCCCTTCCAGGCCACTGAGGCCTGCGCTGTGGCAGGGGAGGGCAAGGACCGGCACCTAGAGGGAACCATGGCCCCCGACCACGCTGCAGCCTATGGAGTCTCCTATGCCCACCTGAAGGCTGAGAGCAAGGGCGAGCGGCGGCCTGGGGGCTTTGAGGCGGCCCTCAACCCCCGGCTAAAGGGCCTAGACTATCTCGGCAGCGCAGGCCCTGAGGCCTCCTTCCCTGGACTCCCTAAAGGTAGTCTGGACAAAAGCGGCTACTTCGAGTTGCCCACCTCTTCACAAGACTGTGCCCGGCCTGGTCACCAGGACCCGCTGGGCGGGAAGGCCCCCCAGGCCTGCTGCACTTTAGATAAGACTGCTGGCAAGGAAGCCCCGGCCGGCCCCCCGGGGGCACAGAAGGTGGCCCGGATCCGGCACCAGCAGCACTTGGTGGCCCCCGAGGTGGAACAGGGGGGCATTGGGGCTGAGGCCAAGCGCAAGTCCCTGGAGCTGGCATCCCTGGGCTACAGCGGGCCCCACCTGCCCCCATGGGGTGTCCAGGCAGGCCCGGGCACCGCCATGGCCATCAGCGAGGAGCGCAAGGCTGGCGCCTACCTGGACCCCTTTGGCAGCGGCCTGCAGCAGGCAGCCCTTCTGCCCCAGGAACTGCCTGCACCACCGGACGAGGTCTCGGCCATGAAGAACCTGCTCAAGTACAGCAGCCAGGCCCTAGTTGTGGGCCAGAAGGCACCTTTGGTGGGCCTGGGCGGCCTCAAGGCCAGCTGCGTCCAGCAGGAAGCGAAGTTCCTGTCCTCTAAGGCCCCAGGCCAGTCGGAGAGGCCGGACTGTGCCCGCAGCCGGGAGCACGACACCATGCACGGTGACGGGGAGGTGCGGCAGCCCCCTGTGGGCATCGCAGTGGCCTTGGCCCGGCAGAAGGACACGGCGAGCCGGTCTGAGGCAGCCTACAGCACCAACACCGCGCGACAGGGCCGGGCCGCCCCCGCTTTCAAAGGTACAGGCCCTGCGCAGAGAGGGAGGCAGGCCGGGCCAGTCTAGGATGCCCAGCTGGCCCTGCCCTGCGCCCCCGCTCCCCAGCTCCCACACCTGCCCTTGGCAGACCCTCCGATGCCCCAGGACCAGGGGATCCTCCTCAGGGCATCAGGCCCCCCAGCTCGAAGCGGGGTCACTGCTTGCCTTAGCCGGTGGCTCCCTGGCCGCCCAACCCTCTCCTTTCTGCTGTCTCGACCCTGTGCAGCTGGCGGTGGGCCCCGTTCCACACACGCGCTGGACCTGGAGGCCGAGGAGGAGAGGACCCGGCTATGTGATGACCGCCTGGGGCTCGCCGGCCGCGAGCTGCTGCTGCAGTGAGAGCTGGGCCTGTGGCCCTGGGGAGTGGGGCTGGGCCTGGGCTTGGGGCTCCCCACTCAGAGCCACGTGGAGGAAGAGGGTGGTCATGGCTGGGGCAGCAGATTCTATGGCTGGCTGTGGGTGGGTTTCTACCCACCCCTAGAGCCTTTCTGGGGTCTCACCCTGGGTTGGGGGTCTCAGCTAACCCCCTGCAACAGTCAGGTTGCCCACTCTCAGGGGCCAGGAGAGGGCCCCCAGTCAGCCCTGCAGAGCACTGAGGCTGGAGCCTGGGGTTTTCCCTGAGCCTCCAGGTCCCATTCTCTCTCCCAGGTTGATGGCAGGGGGTGGGATGGGGAGCTGGGCGTTGGCGCTGGTGGCAGGGCTGAGCCCCGGGTCTTACAGAGACAGCAAAGGGCCGGGGGTGGGATGGGGAGCTGGGCGTTGGCACTGGTGGCAGGGCTGAGCCCCGGGTCTTACAGAGACAGCAAAGGGCCGGGGGTGGGATGGGGAGCTGGGCGTTGGCGCTGGTGGCAGGGCTGAGCCCCGGGTCTTACAGAGACAGCAAAGGGCCGGGGGTGGGATGGGGAGCTGGGCGTTGGCGCTGGTGGCAGGGCTGAGCCCCGGGTCTTACAGGGACAGCAAAGACCGCGTAGAGTTCGCCCGGATCCACCCACCGAGCAGCTGCCCTGGGGACCTGGCCCCCCACCTCATGATGCAGAGCAGCCAGCTGGGCGGGGACGCAGCCCCCCACACCCACCCGCATCCCCCCTGGCTGCCCCGCACCCGCAGCCCCTCCCTGTGGATGGGGGGGCACTCCTACGGTCAGTGATCCCAGGGCGGGGGCTGGCCTGGGGCTGATGGGGGATTCCCTCCTGGTCCCTGAGAGTGGGAGGCCTGACTACTGTGCCCTCTGCCTCCCAGGCCTGGGGCACCCTGCCCTGCACCAGAACCTGCCCCCCGGCTTCCCCGCCTCTGTGGCTGGCCCTGTGCCCTCTGTCTTCCCCCTTCCCCAGGACGCCCCCACTCAGCTGGTCATCCTGCCCTCAGAGCCCACACCCCACAGCGCCCCCCACGCACTTGGTAAGGGCCCCTGGTCCAGGCTGCCACACTCGGGGGGCTGTTGGAAGGAGGGGCAGCTGGGGGTGGGCTGGCCAGGGCTCAGGAGGGAGCAGTGGGCTTGGTGGGCTAAGGAAAGGGTGACGGGGACTCGGGGAAGCAGCCCCGGAGCTGTCCCCTCCCCGGCCAGGCTGACCCCTCCTGGGCCCTGCCCGCAGCGGATGTCATGGACCAGGCCTCGCTGTGGCCCCCCATGTATGGGGGCCGGGGCCCTGCCTCTCACATGCAGCACCCCGGCCAGCTCCCCGTGTACTCGAGGCCACAGCTCCTCCGGCAGCAGGAGCTCTATGCTTTGCAGCAGCAGAGGGCCGCCCAGTTCCAGGTACCGCCCCCAGCCACGCCTGCCTGGGCCAGGCACTTCTCCCCCTCCCTGCCTGGCTGGGCCTGGCTCCGGGAGACCCCTGCATGCCTGCCCTCCTGCAGGATGAACCCAAGCAGGGGACCCTATGGGGTCGGGGGAGCCTGAGCCTGCCTGAACTTCCCCCCATCCCTGACAGCGGAAGCCGGAAGACCAGCACCTGGATCTGGAGGAGCCCGCCCAGGAGAAGGCCCCGAAGTCCACTCACAAGCCAGTTGCCTTAACCCCCACGGCCCCAGGCGCCCCCTCACCCGCTGCAGGCCCCACCAAGCTGCCACCCTGCTGCCACCCGCCCGCCCCAAAGCCCCCTGCCAGCTGCCCCACCCCACCACCTCGGCCCAGCGCCCCGTGCACTTTAAATGTCTGCCCTGCCAGCAGCCCCGGGCCTGGCTCCCGGGTGCCCAGCGCCGAGGAAAAGACTGGGGAGGGTCCGCAGTCCACGGCTGACATCGTCACGTCCGAACCAGGTGAGAGCAGCCGCCTGGCCTGGCCCGCTGTGCTCCGCTCCAAGCCCTCCCGCCCCTGCCTGGCAGGGCTGAATCCGGGCTGCCTGCAAGGCTGTTCCACACCGGCCCAGGCCCAGGGCAGCGTGGCTGTTCCCTTCCTTTCTCTTCCCTCTTCCCAACCCTCCCAATGGGCATGGGAGAAGCACACAGCGGCCCAGCCACCTCCTTCCTGGCCCTGGGCTGACAAAGGCGCGATGAAGACGGTCCCACTGGCCGTCGTGGGGACGCTCCAGCAATGAAGGCAGGGCCTGCTGGTGGTGGTGCTGGCAGCCTGGGGGGCACCGGGCGTGGGACCTGACCAGGCTGCCATTCAGGGTCTCAGCAAAGCTGGGTGAGGGAGGGGCAGTGAGGCGGAGTGCCTAGGTGGGGGGGTCTCGGACCTGGCCTCGGCCCCTGCCACCCGCCCATCCACTCCCCGCCAGCTTGTTTGATTCTGTCTGAATGGGGCTGAGTTCACACTGGAAACCGTGTGGCGAACATAAAACCCGTCCTAGTTTCACGGTCAGGAGACGGAGCCAGCTGAGGCTTTCAGTTTTTCTCCCTTAGTTTTTTTTTTTTTTCCCCTGCAGTTAATGGGACGTGATCCCTCTGACATGCTGCCGGCTCGTTCTGGTTCAGGGAAAACCCTGATTCAAGCATCATGTTTTACAAATTTCCCCTTTTCTGGTTGCCCACGGCACACCATGCCAGAGATGGCTCCTGAGGCCACCCTAGCCCAGGCGGCCAGGGTTGTTGGGGGAGCATTAGAGCCACTCGGTGGGGGAATGAGGGCCTGGCGTCAGGCTGCTCACACTTTTTTTTTCTTCTTTATTTTTTTGAGACAAGGTGTCCCCCTCTGTCGCCCAGGCTGGAGTGTGGTGGCACGAACATGGTTCACTGCAGCCTCGGCCTCCTGGGCTCAAGCCATCCTCCCACCTCAGCCTCCCGTGTAGCTTGGACCACGGGCATGCACCACCACGCTCAGCTAATTGTTCTTTTATTTTTTTGTAGTGGTGCGTGCACTCTGTTGCCCAGGCTGGTCTTGAACTCCTGGCCTTAATGATCCTCCCTCCTCAGCCTTCCAAAGTATTGGGATTACAGGCGTGAGCCACTGTGCCCGGCCAGGCTGCCCCCTTAATTAACGTTAACACGTTCGCCGCCACCAGTCTTGCAGACCTGCAGCTAGCCCAGGACCCTTCCACATGAGCTTGGGTCTGAGGGTTCGAGGTCGCTGTCCTCCGTCCTATTGCAGGACACCCCCTCACCACCACTCCCAGCTCCCTGCTGACCTGTCCTCTCCTTTGCAGACCTGCCTCCCGGATACCTGCGCCCCGTGGCTGGCCTGGGCTTCTCCCTACCCTCAGACGTGCACTCTTCTAACCTCGAGGACCCTGAAACTATGCAAACCGCCACCCTGGGGGCCCAGCCTGAGCCCACAAGGACATTCCTGCCTGGGGAGCCACCTCCCTGCAGCCCCAGGAGCCTGGAGGAGCCCGGGCTGCTCTCAGGGGCCAGGGAGGCCACCCAGGACCTTGCCGCCACCCCCCACCCTGCCGAGCGGGGACCCCAGGGGAAGGCAGCGGACCCCAGCCCACTTGAGGGGCTACAAGAACTGCAATGTGGGGCCCTCCTCGAGGCAGGGGGCCCCGAGGCCACCGGCCAGGCTCATTCTACTCAGGGAGGGGCACGAGAAGAGAGGAGCAGGGAGGAGGGGGAGCAGGAGCCCTCGTCAGGGGCCTCCCCGCAAGTCCTACAGCAGCAAGCAGGGAGCCTGGGTGCCCTTGAGGACGAGGGAGAGCAGCCGACCGCTGAGGAGGACGAGCTGGAGGAAGATGAGCTGGGGCAGCAGAGCATGGAGGACTCAGAGGAGGACTGTGGGGGAGCTCCCAACAACAGCCACCCACCCAGGGCGCTACCAGGCCTGGATGCTTTGGTGGCCGCCACCATCGACCTGGGGGACCTGCCCAGTGACAGCCCACCAGACCCTCAGCCCCCAGCAGCCTCTGGGCCCCCCAGCACAGCCCCCCTGCCCCATAGCTCAGGGACTCATGGAATCGCTCTGCTCAGCGAGCTGGCTGACCTGGCAATCCAGCGGCAGAGGAGTGAGAGGGCTGTGCCAGGTAAGCCCGGTGGTTGCCGCCACCCCCCAAAGCCCCAGCGGTGGGACCCGCAGGCCTGGCTCAGGGTCACCTGGCCAGATGGCAGCCTTGGGCCCCGCTCAGTTGTCCCCAAAGTGTGGTGGGTCCCCTGGAGAGTGTCTACCTCCCCTTGCCGACCCTCATCCGTGGAAGTCCGAGGCAAGTGTGCCATTTCCGAATCCCCCTGTCCCAGGTGGGGTCCTGGGAGCGGCACTCACCTGCATGATGGTTTCAAAGGAAGGGCCTCTTGGGCAGCACCTCCTATTGAAAGTGGCTGAACAGGGGCCCGTGTCCTGGCAAGGGGAGAGGAGAGCCTGCCTCCTGCTCTGCCAGGCCTCCACCTCCTCAGGCTCCGTGGCTGCTGCCCTGGCCTGGGGGGTCCAGTTCAGGAACTGGCGGCTCCCCACTCAGGCCCAGGGGAGGAAGCAGGAGGTTGGGGCTCTTGCTGCAGGGAGGCCTATGGGACCGGGAGCTCCTGGGCTCTTCCACCCACCCAGAGGCCCCAAGGACAGCCGGCCAACAGTGGGCGGAGCCAGATCACCTGAGACACCTAAGGGCCAGGTCTCTGCTTAGCCCACCCCAGCCCTTGGTCTGGGCACTCCCTGCGGTCCAGCGCTCCTGGGAAAGCCCCTGCTTCCTGCCATCTTCCTTGTGGACCCCGGAGAAAGCCCCAGGGTGGAGGGCGTCCCCCAGCCGGGCACAGTGCCGTGGTTGTTCACAGCACGAACCTGACAGTCCTCAGGGCTTGGCCACTGCTTTCTGGACGCATAAATCTCACCACCACGATCAAGAGAATGTTCTCGAGCAGTGCATTTCCCCAGGGGCCTCTGGTCACCTCTGCTGGACGAGGCTGCTGGCTCGCACCCGCCAGGGGTGTTCCGCAGTGCTGGGAGCTGCCTGCCCTTGGGGGTATCTGGCCCAGAGTCTCTGCCTTTGGGTGGGGCTGTGCAGAGGGTTTGAGGAAGCTTGGAGTCCTGTCAGGGTGGGCTCCACCGGGACCCCCCAGAGGCCCTCCCTTGGTCCTCCAGCCGGCGGTGTACGAGAAGGCAGATAGGGCGAGGTGGAGGCACCTCAGGGCATGGCCTGAGCTGCCAGGGACCCTCACCCGGCAGCATGAGGAGGCGTCAACAGAAAGCAGGTGCCGTGTGTGTGGCCAGAGTGGCCCGTCTGCCTGTGTGAATGCCTGCAGGACAGGAGCCTGTTCACTGCATGAATAATCAGGTGTAGACCATGTGTCCCAGGTGGGGAGCCATGTGGCTTAACCCAGCATGGATATCATCACACTCTGGCCAGACCAGGTGTCCCAGTCACCAGGGTGTGCAGAGGCAGAGTCAGGGCCAGCTCTGCCCTCCGGGTCTCCACCTCACGGTCCCCTCCTGGGCCCCCACCCTCGCCCCTCCCCTCCCCTTGTCCCAATTAATGGGCAGGTCTGTGCAGCTGCTGGGCTCAGAGCTCAATCCTACAAGTATAGTGACCACTTTGGTTGAAATTAATTAGGAGACTGGTTTTGTCCTGTGCCAGACAGCAGGATTTCAGACAGCAGGATTTGCAGAGGGGAAAGTGGGGAAAAAGTCCCCAGCATCGGGGCCGGGCGGGCATAGAGCCCCCAGGCCTAGCAGAGCCATCTGGGTGAGGCCATGTGGGGGCCACACGCCTGTAGCCTGCAAGGGCAGGGAAAGCACAGAGAGACCTTCTGGCCAAGTGCAGTGACCCGGAGACCAGGAGACCTGGGGCCTTCAGTGGAAGGGGCCTGCAGATGCATCTTCCTGGCTGCTGATGGCAGCAGCTGCTCAGTCCACCCTCCTCGGCCCTCTCTCCCCTCCCGTTCCCTGTGGACCCTGGACCCAGCAGCCTGAGCGTTCCCATGGTCCCCACCAGATCTGTGCTCTCGGTCCAGAGCTTTGCACCCCAGCATCTGCCCCTCCGAGCTCCTCCTGGCTTCTGAGTAATGACCTCTGGGGATGGATCAACCCTTGGGCTGGGCTTGTGGCCTCCGGGCCCTCCCCTGTACTTGAGGAGGGAACTGGCCGTGCATCGTGTAGCGCCTCCCAGCCGGGGCGTTTGGGTCGATGCCTTTGGTGGAATCTCAGGTGCATCCCCCAGCGGTCAGGCGCTGATGTGTCCCATTAGGGATGGGGTTTGCTCCGGTCACCCTGCACTCCTGCCTCTGGCTGAGATCAACCATGTCTAGGGAGCCCAAGTCCGTTAAATGGAACATGGGGTTCCGAGGCAGAGACCAGGTTTGGGGTGCTCATTGCTGTGAGGTTATTGTTACTCCTAGGCTTTCCCGGGGGTGCCAGCACCTCTACTCTGACCCCACAGGGGTCCCCCAATTCTCCCGCCTTCCTGGCCATAACCACTTACCCCACCGCAAGCTGTCTGGCCCCTATCTCCTGCTGGATGTCCTTGTGGGATCAGCCCATGGGGGCCCTGTTCCTGGTCTCTGTTGTCAGCCCCCAGGGCTGGGTCCCCCTACTCAGGCCCTGGATCCCCATGCTGGGCCCTCCCCTGCATGATGCCAGCCTCTGCTGGCCCAAGCTCTGACCCCGAGATGGGCCATCCCTTCCCCAGGCCACTCCCTGGGCTGTTGGGCTGCCGCTGTTCCTGCAGTCACTGTGAGGGTAGCTCCCCCGTCCCCGCCCCCGCCCCCAGGTTGAGGTCCCAGAGGATGCGGCCCTGGCAGCCCCTCCCTCCTGACCTGTGCTCAATCCCTGGCCCTCCTGCCTGCAACAGGGCTGGAGTGTGTGGAAAGGGCCTGGCAGAGCCCAGCACTGTATTCAGAGACGGGGCAGGGGCAGGGGCTTGGTGCTCTGAGGGAGGATGGAGGAATGGTGGGGGCCCCTCTGAGAAGGGTCACAGCAGGTAAGGCTGCACCCAGAAACTCCTGCCGCTGCCCTCCTCACAAGGAATTGAGGGCCTGGGGTCCCAGCTACCCAGGAGGCTGAGGTGGGAGGGTGCTGGAGCCCAGGAGTTCGAGGTTGCAGTGAGCCGTGATGGAGCCACTGCACTCCAGCCCAGGCAATAAAGCAGGGCCCTGTCTCAAACCTAAAGGTATCAAAGGGACTTGTCCCCTCCCTCTGCACTGACCGCTGGCCTCCCTGCAGCCACTGCTCCTTAGGTGTCCACAAAGGCGAGTAGATGGAAGGACTGATGGGCAGATGGACGGGCAGTGGCACGTCTTAGCTGCTGGGGGACACCAGCCTCCACCACCTGGGTTGAATGATGCCCAGGTACTGAAGCCCACAGTTCCAAAGCCGTCTCTCCGCGTGACTTTGAACTTGGTTAAAGCCACATGGACAGACGTCTGAGGGAACTGCGGGCTTGAGCCACTGAATTGAACTTGGTTGAACTTCAACAGCTTCCATGCTGGAAGCCTCAGTGGCCTCTTGCAGCGCTGCCTGTGTCTCTGAGGGCCCCAGAGCGAGTGTCCCTTCCCAGAGCTGCCGTTCGAAGCAGCGCACCCCTGGTGGGGGGACACACAGGCGTTTCTGTTAGAAGCAGTAACGAGCAGCTTACTTTTACTTCGATGGTTTGGGGCCTGTCTTGCTCTGTGACACGGAGGGCCCTGCCACATGGGTCCTCCCAGCTGGCCCGGCCCTACAACCAGCCTGGAACCAAACGGGTGCTGGATGCCAACCCTGATGCCCACGTCACTCTTCCCGGCCTCCTGACCCTCATCCTGGTCTTCACGGCTGGGTGGCTTCAGGGGACCACGGCTGACGTCAAGAGCCTGTGAGGGGCAGTGTGTGCCCAGCTATGCCCATTCTGACCTTCCCATGCCCCACAGAGGAGGAAGAGGACGTGCTAGCCTTCAACCTGCAGCACTTGGCCACGCTGGCCACAGCCTGGTCCCTGGTGGAGGCCGCTGGCCTAGACAGCACCACTGCCCCAGCACAGCCACCCACGGCCGACCCCTGTAGCGGCCCCAGGCTCACCCCCCGCATGCAGATCCTGCAGCGCAAGGACACCTGGACCCCCAAGACCAAACCTGTGAGTAGGGGTCCCAGTGCCCATATTGCCCAATGCGTTGCCACACAGCCCCAGCCTGGGCCCTGGCCCAGCTCACAGGCCCCTGTGCCCCTGCCCACCAGGTGTGCCCCTTGAAGGCCGCCATCGACCGGCTGGACACACAAGAGGTGGGGATGCGTGTGCAGCTGGCAGAGCTGCAGCGGCGCTACAAGGAAAAGCAGCGGGAGCTGGCCCGCCTGCAGCGCAGGCACGACCATGAGTACGCCCGGCGTGGTGGGAGGGCCTGGGAGGGTCGCTGCACCCCCACCCCTGGGAGGTGTGCACGGTGCTGGGGCCTATGTGGGAACAGGCCAGGACTGGGCTCTGCACCCTGCCTGTGGGCAGACACTGGGGTCTGTCGGGGAGGCCTTCCCAGAGGCAGTGGGGCCCAAGGAGGGAGGCATTCGGCCAGGCGAGACCAAGCGGCAGGACTGGGGGTCTGGAAGAGCCACTCGGCAGAGCCTGGTGTACAGGAGGCCGGCCGCAGGGTGGCGGGTGAGGGGACAGTGGCAGAAAGGGGAGTAGGGAGGACTAGGGGCGCTGGGGGGCCAGGGCAGAAGTTGGAAATTTCTCTGGGGGGAGGGGACACCCCGCAGTTGCAACAAGGGCAGGGGCACCGCCTGACCAGTGTGTGTGGATGGTGGGAGGTGTGGGCGGCGGGGGCCCTGGCTGGCCTTGCCTTCTGCTTGAGGGGTCAGGCTCCCCAGGCCAAGTCTGGGCCCCACCTTTCCCCGCACCCAGTAGCCATCTAAGGCCAGTGCCCTCGGCTGGAACCTTGTTGGGGCGCTGGATTCTGCATGAACCTCTGACCATCCCCCTTGTGGCCCCCAGGAGAGACGAGAGCTCACGGAGCCCTGCGCGGCGGGGGCCTGGCCGGCCGAGGAAGCGCAAACACTCGAGCTCACTGCCTGCCCCACGTCCCACGGGGCCGCTCCCCAGGAGCGATGGCAAGAAAGTCAAGTGAGTCCTGGGTACTGGCATCGCAGGGCACCTGTGGCTGGCCCTGGGCCCTCGAGGCTGGGGCAGCAGGGTCCAGCTCCTCTGAGGCTTCCGGGGCTGCTGGTGCCCCTTCACAGCCACTCTGAAGGCCTGGCCCTGCCCCTCCTAGACCATCGAGAGTGACCAGTGGACAGAGCCCTGCTCCAGACAGGCTTTGCCCAGCTGGCAGCTCCCAGCAGCACCCTGGCCCAGGTCCCCCTCTGGAAGCCACAGCTCCCAGGCCCGGCCACACCGGCTCTGCACACCTGGCTGTGGCATCGTCCCCGCCCGCGCCCCACCCGGCCCCCTGGAGTGTGAGGCGGCGTTGCGTGCAGGCCTCTTTATCTGCACTGTATAAAGTCGTTGGTCACGCTGCGGCGCTGCTCACGGCTGCCGGCGCGATGTTATTATCCATTACCCGCCCGGCACAGCCGTTGGTGCACTCCCGGGCCTGGTATAATTGTCCTTCTCGGCTACAAATTGCCTCTCCCGGCAGGCCCATTTGCATAAATCCTCCGAGCTCCTCCAAACACGATTGGCGCGTGCGTGTGCGCACTGCATCAATCCTGATGATTTGGTAATAATAGTTAAATCGGCACTAAATGGTTCCTTCAATTAAGACAGAGGCAAAAAATTAATCTCAGGGCTTTATGTCACAAAACATTAGCAAATGCAGGGAAGGTTATAGGGAGGGTCTGCGTGGCTGTGGGCAGTGGAGGGGTCACCATATGGCAGCCCCCCAGAGCTGCCCCTGCCCTGCCCAGGTGTCTCCTGGGGGGGTCTCCTGGGGTCTCCCTTTGAGAACTGGCCAGCACTGTGGGAGCTGCTGGGCAGGACAGGGCCCCTGGAAGCCAGGGTCTGGCTAGAAGGCAGCAGCCTCAGGACCTCAGGGAAACTGAGTCCAGGACCCCTCTTCCTGAGGGTCAGGGCCCCTCCTCACCCTTCCACCTCCTGCCCTCACTCATCCAGGCAGTGGTGGCGGAGGCAGTTGGCCCCGGGACGGGCCTTCTACTGTGCAGGAAGTTGGGGAGTGGGGGCCCAGGGGCGTCTTCTGGCCCACGGCTTCCTGCCTGGCCCCTCAGCCCTCAGAAGCCTCCTCGGTGGACAGGAAGGTGGAAAGGGATGTTCGGCCAGGGCCGGGCAGGGCCAGGCAGGGCTCTTTGTCTCCATCTGTGATTCATTTTCATGAGCAGCTGGGGCTCCCTTTGCACCTGTGAGTCAGGGGGTTGAAAGGTGAGAGGCCAAGCCCCCAGCCCCTGTCTAGCCAGGAACAGGCAGAAAGACTCCGCGAGCCTTGGCTTCCCCATGTGAAATGGGGCAGTGGGAGGTTCTGGGGAGAGTGGGTCACCCACACAAGATGGGGAGTCCAGGATGTGGGGGAATCAGGTGGGACCTGTTTGGGGGCATCTGGAGGTAGCTGCTAGGCCCATGTTGGCTGGAGTCGATTTCTGCCCCAGCTCCCAGCCTAGGGGACAGCACAGCTCTGGGGCATGGGGAACACTGAGGCTCGGCCCCAGCAGTGTCCAGGGCTCTATCTGGGAGGGGCTGAGGATGCATAGTTCCGTCCTCAAGACGTGCATGGAGGACAGGACGGGCTCCTGGGAGGTCCTGAGCCAGGCAGTGGGGTCCCTGGGGACTCGGGGGAAAGCCCAGGCTTCTCTGGACCCTGCCCCGCCCGCCTGCCCCTACCGCCGCCCCTGGTGGAACTCCAGTTGGCGTGTCCTCTTCCAGCTGTGGCAGAAATGTGGATGCAGTTCTCACAAACCTGCCTGGTGCCCACCCCACTCCTAAGGGTGGTAGCATCAGGCCCTGAATACCCGCCAAGGGCTGGGGCCAGCCTGCATAAGCCCTGCCTCAGACTCACAGACGGCGCATGTGCGGCTGTCCCTTGTTCCGGGTGCCAAGGCTGAGGCTGCAGCCCCACTAGAGCCCCAGTAGCAGCAGAGCCCTGGCTCCTGAGTACTGGGCAGCCCCTCAGAGCCCTCAGCGGCCCCAGCCCCTGACACCTGGCCTCTGGGTCACTATAGCTAGGACCAGACCGCACTGCCAGGCCGTTCCTTCCTAGCAGGCTGGAAGGATGGGATTCGGGTAACAGAAGCGTGCCTACTTCCAGTATAGTTTAGTTGGGGGTGGGGTGGATTTGAGGATGCAGGGACTGCTGAGGGCTGGTGGTTGGCAGGCAGAGGGGCTGGCTGGAGGCAGGTGCTGAGGGGAGGTCAGAGCTGGCTCAGCCCCCGGGGCCCCTCACCCTCAGCTCCGTCTCCCTGAGACGTAGGGCCTTTGGAGGAGCGTGACCCACTACAGAGACAGCAGGGGGACAAGGCTGGGGCGGCCAGGACTGCATGTGCCCTGCACCCACCACCCCATTCCCCCAGGGCGGTGCGGACAAGCCTGGGTCTGCTGTGCGCGGAGCTGCGAGGGGGCAGCGGGGGCGAGCCTGCAAAGAAACGGAGCAAGCTGGAGAGGAGCGTCTACGCGGGCCTGCAGACCGCCTCTGTGGTGAGTGCTGAAGCACCTGCCTGGCCCCAGGGCCCTTCAGGTCCCTTCCTGGGCAGGTAGCAGATAGCGGACTCTCCCCAGCCCTGTGCTGACTGACACCCGTCGCTCAGAACCAAGTGAACTAAGGCTGGGAGCTCTGAGTGTCAACGGCAGGAGGAGGAGCCCGACCCTGTGGTGTGACGTGGGAAGGTCTGACCGGGTGGCCCTGCTGCCACTTGCCCGTGTGTCTCCACCCTCCTCGTCTCACCCTAGCAGGAAAGCAAATGCCGAGGCCACGCTCTGCTCACAGAGACTCCCCAGAGCGAGGCCCTGCCTTTCCTCAGGTGGCCCGGGGCACACTTGGTGTGGCGGGGGCTCCCCCGGCTGCCGGCACCCCTTCCTTCTTGACACAGCAGATGCCTCCTGCCCTCCCCTCTCCGTGGCCTCGGGGCCGGGTGAGAGGTGGGCCCCAGCGTGCTTCGCCTGTCTGCCCAGGGGGCCGATCCTTCTGTCCAGATGCTGTTTCATCTCTGCCTTGAGAAAAGCTAATGGCCTGGCCCCACAACCCACAGCCACTGGGCCCTCAGCCTCCTCCGTGCCCCCTAAGTGGGGTGGGCAGTTGGTAGGCAGTGGAGTGGGTGGGAGAGGCCCAAGCGTAGGCTCCAGGGGCAGGCCCTGTGTCTCTGAGCCAGACATCTCTTCAGTCCCTGTGGATCGAGGGCAGGGACCTGGGAGGTACCAGTTCTGAGCCGGGCATCAACAGAGAGGCACCTAACCACCCAGGGGCTGCGGTTTGCAGAGGGCGCCCTGAGAGTGCAGCTGCCCCTCCCTGTTCACAGGAGAAGGCACAGTGTAAGAAGAGCGGCTGCCCAGGCGGGCTGGCACCCTCTGTGGCCCACAGGGTGGCCCAGCTGAAGCCCACGGTCAAGAGCAAAGGGCTGCCCACAGGCCTCAGCTCTTTCCAGCAGAAGGAGGCCACCCCCGGGGGGCGCATCCGGGAGAAGCTGTCCCGGGCCAAGAGTGCCAAGGTGTCTGGGGCCACGCGGCACCCACAGCCCAAGGGCCACAGCAGCCGGGAGACACCCAGGTGCCCAGCCCAGCCCTCCGTGGCTGCGTCCCGGGAGGCAGGCAAGTTGCTGGCGTGAGTGGCCACTGCCAGGAGCCCCGGTCATGGTCACTGGGGGGCTGGAGGAGGGGGCGGCAGGTTCACGGCCACCACCAGGGCTGGGTCAGGGCTCGAGGGGTGTGACAGGTCCAAGGAGACCTTCTCACTAGACAGGCTGGGGAAGAAGGCGAGTGTCTCACAGAAGGAGACCCCCATCCACCAGGCAAGCTCAGTGGCTCTCGGTGTGCCTCACCCCCATGTCGGGGCCGAAGGGGAAGGAAGGACGCCCCCTGGAAGCATCCAGGTTAAAAATAGCCCTCCCAGCGGCCCCAGCCCTTGCGATTGTAGTGTCCAGCTGGGCTGACCCTGAGGCGTTATCTGACCCCCCAGCAAACACATGTGTCCAGAAACAGGAGCCTAGAAAAATAGAAGCTTCCTTTCTCCCGCCAGCCCCTTCCCCCAAGGTCTCAGAAGCCTGAGAAAGAACAAAGGGAGGGCTGCTTGGGGCTGGGGGAGGGGCAGAGGGCCATCTGGGCGGGTGGGGGACAGCAGAAAGAGGGGAAGGGACTTCCTGGGGAGGGGGCACCAGCCCTGCCAGGCAGGTGCCCGATTGCCCAGGGTATAAAGAAAAAATCCCGCGTCCCCACACCCATACAAATCCCTTCAGGCTGGAGGCCAGGACCTCAGGAACCTGCCCCCAAAGCAGCCCCACAGAGCAGCCCAGAGGGCGACAGTGACTGGTTCCACTCACAGCCCCGCCATAACCGCATGCCCAGAGGGTCATCTCCCCCACCTCTCAATGGCACAGCTTAACGTCAAGTCATCGGGACCCCTCTGCCTCTCTCCCAGGCAGTGGCTATGACAGTGAGGACTGTGAGGGTCTCCTGGGGACAGAGGCACCACCCAGGGAGGCAGGGCTGCTGCTGCGTGCCGGGGCCAGTGTGGCCGTGCTGGGGCCCTCGCCCTCCTCTGTGGTCAAGATGGAGGCCAACCAGAAGGCCAAGAAAAAGAAGGAGAGGCAGGGGTTGCTAGGTAACCAGGAGGGAGGGCAGGAAATGCTAGATAACCAGGAGGGAGGGCAGGGGTTGCTGGGTAACCAGGAGGGAGGGCAGGGGTTGCTGGGTAACCAGGAGGGAGGGCAGGGGTTGCTGGGTAACCAGGAGGGAGGGCAGGGGTTGCTGGGTAACC